ATGGGGGTGAGTAAATTATCAGGACATTTTTTATTTCTGGAAGTAAACTAATCCTTTGAAGTAAATGTTTTTTGGTCATAACACTTATTACATTATTTACATCAGTGTTCCTCAACCCTGGTCCTGAGCGCCCCCCAACACTGCACATTTTGTATGTCTCCCTTATCTGACACCCATTTCAGCTCCTGGAGTTTCTTTTAATGAGCTAATGAGTTGAATCAGGTGTGTTTGATTAGGGATACACACAAAATGTGCAGTGCTGGGGGGCGCCCAGGACCAGGGTTGAGAAACACTGATTTACATAATTACATTACATGAATTATTTAAATTAATTTGCTGATATTGTTCTGCTGAGTTTCTCTTTGCCAGTTTTACATTTCATGACCACCTTTGTGATACAGTTTTTTTAAAGCTGCTTTGGAATGATTGCAGATCTGTCAAGCTGCTTTGGTTGCAGATTGGGTCAAAAAAAAAGAAGATACTTTTTAGGTCTGATTTAGTACCACAGTAAAATAATTACAAGAATAAAACTGAAAAAAGAGACTTTTTGAGAATGTTTTAATAATAGACATTTGACACGTAATAAAAAGTAAAAAAATAAATTGTTGACTATAATATTTTAAGAATGAAGTCAAAATTACAATGGCCTAACATGTTCAATTCAGAAAAGAATAAAAGGGTCAAAGTTAATTTTTTGGTCATGACATTGTATAATTGTGTGTTTTGTAGGGAACAGAGGCTGTGGGGTGTGGGTAATGTCATCTAGTCTACCTCAGCTCATTGGAAACCATATTACCCATAACCGCATATATGGGCTGGCCGTGTTTTGCCGGAAGGACACGGAGTCTGCTGTGAGCCGAGAGGGCTATCGCTCTTTACAGGAAAGAGAGAGAGGAGTCGGGGTTGGAGAGAGGGACAGAGGAGGTCCTGAGAACTTCAATGAGGAAGGAGAACTGATGGCATGGGAAAGTGATATCGATAGCGAAGATGAACGCTTTTCCTCTCGACGGCCAATCACAGTAGCCCTAGTGGAAAACAACTGCATTAGTCACAACGGAGGTGAGTTGCTGTTAAATATAATTTCTGTGAGGTACAGACTACAGACTTTACAAAGGTAAGTACTGTAGAAAAGTATTAAATATATATTAAATATGACGCTACCCTGGTCTATATATTGCTTTATGTAAGTGTATTGTATGTATGCAGTTAAAGTTGAATATAATATATATCAAACTTAGAGATGGGCAGTAAAATTATATATTTTTGTGACAAACAATCACGCAGCAGAGATTTGGTGGCCCTTGGCATCAGAAAGTTGTAAAACCCCTAGTCAACTTCACCTGATCATATTAGATTGACATCTCAGCCACTTCTGTCTCCTTTTTCTCCTCTGTCTCTCCAGCTGTTGGAGTGTATGTGAAGAGCAATGAGCCTCTGAACGTGGTGGCTAACATGGTGAACAGTAACAGAGGAGACGGCGTGTCTGTCATTCAGAGCGCTCAGCTGACGCGTTTAGTTGGAAACTGTGTCCTCTGTAATGGCTGGACAGGAGTGGCCGTGGACCGAGATTGTCGAGTAGAGCTGCGTGGCAATGGGGTTTATGGCAATAACTGTCACGGTGTCTGCTTCCGGGGCGATGGGCTGATTGTGGAAAACGATGTGGTTGGAAATAATGCTGTTGGAATACGAGTGATGGACAATGCAGATGTTAAAGTGAGTATGCTTCAATTTTACTGTCACATGGTTGAAAAAGTAAAAACATACAGTGGCTGTGTCCGAAATACAGATGTGTTTGTGTCACATCCTTTCTGATAATATGAGAGATTGACAGATACTGTTTTTAAGGCCAATATTGATACTATTTTTAATTATCTGAAACAATATTTGCAGAACTGAATTTTAATAATTTTATTTAAAATTTGTGACAATAATAATGTTAATAAAATAATAATTGACTACAATAAATTTATATCAATACATCCTTTCTTCGTCTTCTTAATAATAGAATACAATAAAAAATATCGTTAGCATTGTTCATTATTAATAATAATACTACATGTATTATATTAGTAATTCATGTGTATATAATAAGTATTATTATTATAATTATTACAATAAGAAATATATGCTTAGAATATATTATTATTAAAAATACTTTAGCCATTAGAAATTATTGCTGTGTCAAGAATTTCTGTCCAATGTAAGAATAACATTAATAGAATATATTACTATTATTATTAATATTACTACTACTACAATAAAAATATATGCTTAGAATATATTATTATTATTATTATTAAAAATAATTTAGCCATTAGAAATTCTTGCTGTGTCAACAATTTCTATCTATTGTAAGCATAAATTACAAAACTGAAAAAATGTAAACATTTTAAAATATTTTATAAAACTGTATAATTATCTTTAAAGGCATCATAGATGTGCCCCTAACTGATGGAGAAGTTATAGAAGTGACTTTTTGCCTTAATGGGAAATAAGCTTTGTAATCATTAAATATTAATGTAGTTATCACTAAAGCCTACCTTTATACAAAAGTACTGGCTGTGTAGTTATTGACTGACAGGGCAGCAAAGCCTTAGGTTTCGGACACAGCTCATGTACTGTTTAAACTACAGTCCCTGCTATCAGATGTTGACATTTGCTTTGTGTTCTGCAGGTATTGAGGAATCGTGTTCAGGTGTTGCGGGGTTATGGGATTTCTGTAAAGGAGAGGGTCCGAGGTGTGGTTCAGGAGAACCTGGTTTATCAGAGCCACTCTGCGAGTACTAAAACCCCCATACGGACAAACAAACAGAACCTGGAGTGTGTTGTACTTAACAACTCTCTGCTCACACCCAGGTTAGATACACTCACGTCATAGGCACAAAACTCTATATGTAGTTTAGAAGAATTCAGTTTCATATATCTACAATATATATATCGTAATATATAGTGATGCACCAAAATGATTTTGTTTTTACCAAAATTAACATCATTATGCCAAAAGCCAAAATTGACAATAATGTTTATTTAATAATCAATTAATCAAATTTATTTAATAACTGACACTAAAATAAGTTGATACAATTTTTTTTCTACTCCAATCCATAATTGAAATATAAACATTTGAACGGTGAATGTAAGAAAGTTGTCAAGAGAGATTTATTAAAACATACATTAAATAATGAAAACAAGTTTGAGTAATAAAGTGCATTTATTTAGCTTCTCAAGCTATGGACATTGAAAGGCTTTCCTGAGATGAAAGTAACCTTACATGACATTGTTTACAAGCTGTTTTATTGATGTCTTTCTCTTCTGATGTTCATTCCTGTTTATTTTGTGCTGTAACTAGTAGTAAAGTGGAAGAGATGATTGGTTCACATTTCGCCCTTCCAAAACCGTTTCAGGCAAAATGGAAAATTAATTTTCTGCTTAACATTTTTGGTTCTGTGCATCGCTAATAATATATGGCACACTATATTTGATCTGTATTACTCTTTCTGTCCTAGATCACAAGCGCTTTGGACCTTAGATAATCCACCTCCTCGTCCTCACAATAGTAACCCTTCTAGCGTCACCCCCTCCACACTTCCTACTCACCTTGCCATCACCATGACAAACAGAATCACTACCTCTGTAGAAAGTGGTTGCCATAACAACAGCAGCATCTTTTGCTCAATTTTATGAGGTACATATTTCCTGGCTTTATAGCTCCACAACATCAGATGGATATTCCTACAATGTTCCCTCAATGTGAACCCTGGGTGAAGGAGGACACCGAGGAGGTGAAGGCACTGCTTCAATGTTGGATGGATGATGAACAATCAGATTAAGCCTCAAGCACATGACGTTAAAATGATCAAAAAGCACATTTTTAATATGATTAACCAAAGTACAGTGGTTCCCAACCCTGGTCCTGGAGGCACCCCAACACTGCACATTTTGCATGTCTCCTTTCTCTGACACACCAATTTTAGGTATTGAATTCTCTACTAATGAGCTGATGACCTGAATCAGGTATGTTTGATTAAGGAGACATGCAAAACGTGCAGTGTTGGGGTGCCTCCAGGACCAGGGTTGGGAACCACTGGTTTAGTAGTCCGATAATCAAACTTTAAAGGATTAAGACCACCTTTTTGATATACTTGGATCTGAAATGAATCAGTCAACTCACTCTAAATTGATCAGTGTTTATGAGGAACTTATTGGAGTTTGGATTTTATCATGTACCTGAAGTCTGGCCGGCTACCAATCCAACTGAAAGCACATTCAGTACAGGACAGTGCAAAACAGCACGTACTGGGTACCGAGATGCAGCCAATCATGAGTTGCATTACATCGAGCGGCAATATTCAACTTTCCTATAAAAACACTCCTGTTTTATGTACATGTGCACATTATTGAAGGGTGAAACTGAAAACTGCCTAATGGAAAGTTTTTTAGATTTTGCAAGAATATTTCAGAAAAGACAATTCAAAGATCCTAAAGGGATAGTCTAACCTAAATATGAAAATGTTGTCATCATTTACTCTATCCTCATAACCCCATGTAATTTCAAACCAGTATGAAGATACTTAGAAGAATACTGGTAATTAAATAGTTTTGGTTCCCATTGATTTCCATTGTACGGAGAAAAAAATACATACAGGTGTAGAGCAACATGAGAGTGGGTAAATGATAACGGATTTTTACATATTTTGTGAACTGTCTCTTTAAATGTGATTTCATAGGCACTGATTCAATAGGCCTATCAATGAATAAGGTTCTATTTGTTAATTACTAACAATAAAAATTAATAATAAAAAATATTTCCAAAGCATTACAACTGCAAAATAAATGGGCATTGTTAGATAATACATTAAAGTAAACTAATAGAACCTTGTAAAGTGTTGCCAAGAATACTTTAATATATTTAAATAATTGTAATACTTATTGAGAATCACCGTTTTAGACCACCACAAGAAAGAGAAAACAAACTGAATATCTAGTTCCACAATTAAGGTGTATAATAATACATTTGACTTACTTGGCATCACTGATGCCCATGTCTCTGTGTAGGAGTGTAAGGTTAGCCGTCTGATCACCCATGTGCAGCAGTAAAGCCAAACAGTGAGCAACCATTTTAATACGCATGGACGAAGACACAGTGCTCCTGAGGCTGTTGAGACAGGCAAAACTTGCATTTATATATGTAATTGTCTGAAATTTGTCAAGTCAAGTCAAGTCACCTTTATTTATATAGCGCTTTTAACAATACAGATTGTGACAAAGCAACTGAACAGCATTAATTAGGAAAATAGTGTCAATAATGCAAAATGACAATAGTAAACACTCATTTTTCAGTTAAAGACAGTTCATCATTGAATTCAGTGATGTCAACATCCAGCTCAGTTTAAATAATATCTTTGCAATTATAATTGAGAGTTAAAAAAAAAAAAGGCGGCAAAAAATGAAGTCAGAATAGGCTGCAGGACTGTGCGTAGTTAGGAAAATACACACCTGCCATGGTGGAAACTCTCCACTGTGAAATTCTTCAGCACATTTTGGATAATGATTCTGGGACATTCATCCTCAATACCAACTGCAAATGACAGTAAAAACAAATCCGTTTTTTTAAATGTTTAAAGGGCACCTATTATGGAGTGATGTCAACATCCAGCTCAGTTTAAATAATATCTTTGCAATTATAATTGAGAGTTAAAAAAAAAAAGGCGGCACAAAATGAAGTCAGAATAGGCTGCAGGACTGTGCGTAGTTAGGAAAGTACACACCTGCCATGGTGGAAACTCTCCACTGTGAAATTCTTCAGCACATTTTGGATAATGATTCTGGGACATTCATCCTCAATACCAACTGCAAATGACAGTAAAAACAAATTCGTTTTTTTAAATGGATTTGTATCATTATAGGGTGGTTGTGTACACACACTGCCAACACATTTGTGTTCAAACAACATTTAAAAGTGAATTTTGCATAATAGGTGCTCTTTAAAAAAACGACAATGGCCATATAAAATGAGCTGAACTAGTTGCAGAGACACAGTAATGAATTCTTTGTTTCTTTTACACTCACATTTGAAGGAGAGACGTTTCTGTAGCGAGGCTTTGATAAGGAAGGACAGGTACCAGGCACATCGAGACTGTCTGTCACGAGCTGCATCCTCTTTGGGAAGTAATTCAAGATGTCTAAGAACAGTCTGTGGACTAGAGAACACAACTGGATGTATAAAAATAAGAATTTAGAACTGATCTGGAGCCAAAATGGCTTCCAGCAGACTTTCCAAACCTGAAAACCAATTCATTTTTATGCCTTTCCAGCCATTTCCAAGAATTTTGAAAATGAATAAAATCTTAAGTGAATTAAACTTAAGCACAATTATTTTTTGCAGGACTTTTGCAGGGCTGGAAAACTATTTTGTTTGCTAATATTTCCAGATTAATGGTGATCCTAAAAGATCATGGAAAAAATAACTGTAATGACATCGTTTTTATAATTTATATATGGCATCAGAAATATTTTTATTAATAATTTATGAATATTTGTGAAAATATGACAAATTAATATTTTTATTAAGCAAGTAAATTATTACATTGATCAAAATTGGAAGCACAATCTAGATGATCTAGTAAATCTAGATAAATGCAGCCTTGAGCAGAAGAGACTTCTTTAAAAAAAACATTACAAGTCTTACTGATCCCAAACTTTTGAGCTGTAGTGTGTGTGTATGTACGTACATGTATGTATATTATATTATATATATATATATATATATACATTACAAGTCTTACTGATCCCAAACTTTTGAGCGGTAGTGTGTGTATGTATGTATGTATGTATATTATATATATATATATAAATAAATAAAATCTGCTCCTGAGGCACAAAATCAGCCTATTAGAATGGTTACTGAAGGATCATGTGAAACTGAAGACTAAAGTAATGAAAATGTAGTTTTATCACAGGAATAAGTTACAATTTAAAATATATTTAAATAGACAACAGTTAAATTAAACTGTAATAATATTTCACAATATTACTGTATTTTCAATCAAACAAATGCAGCCTTGGTAAGCATAAGATACTCATTTAAAATATAAGATACATATTCAAATACATGTAAATAAAAATTTCTTACCAACCAAAAACTTTTGAATGGTATATGCACGTTATAATTAGTATTTATAATTACAAAAAAAACACTTGTCAAATGCATGATGTTCTCCATACCAGTTCTCAGCTCTCATCTTCTGCAGTTCTTCAGGGGTCAGCGCTGCCATCTTTTCTCCAACATCCTTCAGAGAATCAAACTCATTTGGAGACAAAACTAGAAGGAAGTTAAGGATCTTGACACAAAAAAACGCTGTGGAGCGGCGTGATAAAACATGGAGAAGCATATAGAGAACAAAAAAAAGGATACGTTGGTCAAAGGGGTACACATCTTCTGCTTTATCTGCCTCAGTGTTGCATGAAGGGAGGAAGAGGGCTGTATCTGTCTGAGCCTCAGTTTCAACCACTTCATTACGCAGAGCTTAGAGACAGGATCGAAGAGCCAATGTCAACAATACGTTTTAATGTACATTTTATTCATAGAAATTTTGAAAACTCATAGCTACTTACCTTCCACTCCTTTCTGGTTTATGACATTGGTAGCAGCCAGTGCCACAGCCTGCTGAAGAGTCTCGTTGCCCACTTCGTTGAGTCTCCTGGAGCTCAGAGCACGCTTCTGTTTAGTCGTCCCAAAAGCTTCAATAAGAGCATCCACCTGTGATCAGACACAGAATACACACCAATGATTTATTCAAATATACATAAAAAAACAATTTACACATAAATCCTCTTCTAGGATTGTTCTATGTGATTTTTAATTTCTTAAGTTCATTTTGATATTTTGGGGGCTCAAAAAAAACAAAAGTCTCTGAGGGGGATTCAATTGTCCTTATAATGAAGCAAAAACCTTAAATTTCAAAAATGTACAATTATTTAACTTTAGGTAGTTTGGCATATTATTTTTTTTTTTCCTTTTTGTAATTTTAATAATTAAAATTTTAGTGCATCAAATCAGTCATGTTATATATATATATATATATAAAACAGGAAGTATCATAGAGACGACCTTTGCGGATCATCAAATTTCAGTATCAAGAACAAGTACCTTAAAGTGGCCATGAAAACAATGTAATTTTTTATTATAAATGATTTATCTGTGCACATCATTAAAGATTTGAAACAACATTTATTCTCTGTTGATGTATGTACCGGTGATTCAATATTCCAGCCAATTCCTGAAGGACAAAATCAAGTCCCTTTTTTCTTTTTCAAGAAGCCGTTTTACTTAGAAACACTTAACAACAGGGAAGAAATACAATCACAACTTCATTTCAATAATAACTTTCATGCCAATGTTAGTATTTCAGAAACAATAAGGCAAGGTTAGTTCATGTAAAATGTCTTGTGACTCCCCCAAAGATATAATAATAATATTTGATACATTCATATTTACAAAGAGTACTTTTTACCTTGATAATGGTCTAAATGTTTTTCAACCAGCATGAATACAAAGAATACATTTCTAAGAACTTGGCACATGCATTTTAATCTAAACCTTTCCTTTTTGTTTACCTTGGACATTGACCCATACATAAATTATATAATTATTTTTTTTTTTATTTTTTTTTATCAGTTACTCACCTTTTCTCTGTATGTATCAGCTTGCTTTGTGTTTTCATTTACTGCTGATTCACCTAAAGATACAAACACAGACTCAACAATGAACTTCTCTTTCGTTGACATCCAGTCTAACCTAACAAGTCATAATGCACATGGCTCCGGTCTCTGTTGTGGACTATTTCGTTTGTAGACATTACTGTTGAACATAAAGGGATTAAAGATTACAGAGGAGCCATGACCATAAAACAAGGAGTTTGCAAACATTATAACTAATACATTTCCATAACTTTCTCTGATTTGATAGATTATTATTATTATAGTCAATGACTTTTCAAGAGCAGAGAAACAACCATTTTCAAAGTTTCTGATACTTCCATGACCTGAGGAGCCCTGAAAAAAATATTACAGATGTACCATATTTACCTGGTATAACAGGAAGCATATTGAACAGCTGAGCATTATGAACTTTCATTTTCATAGTTCTCTTGTCAAGTACTCCCACAAAATACCTGTTAATAACAATTACAATCCCATTAATCAGAGACAGAGAAATGTTGTTTAACTAGTCAATATTCATAAAGCTTGATAACTTCACCTGCACAGATTATTACACTGTAATGATCCAGACCCAAAATTGCTCCCAACATAGGGAAGCCTGTCTGATTCTGCAACCTAACAAGGGAACATGAAATATTTCTCAACACCACATTTACTTTCTTAACCATTACAAAGACCCCAAAACAAAAACTTTTCCATCTACATAAGCCGTTTTACCACAATGCGTCGGGTTTTCTTTCTGGGATTGATACCATCTGAGTGTTTGAAGAGTTTGAAGTCCAGCTCTTCTGCTTTTTTCACGTGTCCATTAGAAAATTTAACTACAATGACAAGAATTAGGTTTAAAATAAGGAAATGACCCAACAGCAAACAACCGACAACGATTCAAGACTATTTTAACCTACAAACTATTTAACTTTAACCATACATTGTTTATGGTTTACACGCGAGCAGGACGTGAACTCCACGTGGGTTAAACACAAAGATGAAATGTAAGAATAATCAATTAGCATGGACGAATAACGCCAAAAATGCATTTTAGTATATCTATCATGTTTTGGATATTAAAAAGTTACCAATAAGAGCGTCCTGCCCTGTTTCTTCACATGGATCCCACGAACAGGTCGCCGCCATCATTACCGTTTCCTCGGCTGATATTCACACGCGTACCTGCTCAAGCAGCGACACCCAGCGGCGAAGAAAACTCCTGCGTCTATCCAATAAGACTTAATAAATCAAGTATTTATTTATGTCTATGCATCTATCTATCCGTTCCTATGATCGCGGAGATAAGCGTGTGGAACAAAGGGAAGATCAAAACTCGTACTATAGGCTACTATGAGAATCTTTGGTGCTGACTTAGAATCCCTTCATTTAACACATTTTTAAAAAGTGTCTTATTCTTTGCCGAATTTTACAGAGATTATTAATGACTTTCCCCCAAGTTTCTCATACATCAGACTAAGCATTTGATAAATCGAGCATGTTGTTCGTAGACAAGTAGGCCTAGCCTACAGTAGGCTATTGGCAACACTTTATTAGGATAGAATGGCTGCTAGTAATGGAAATAAAATTGACCGGCAATCGTAATTTGTATAAAAATCATGATAGCTATATTTTAACACGTTATGCTAATTCCACCAAAAACCCCTCTCTTCCCATAGTTGAAGATACTCTTTTATGAAAATAAAATGCAAAATATATATATATGTAATATTATAATTAATGCTCGCGCCTTACTCGAACTGCGCGTATTTTAAGTTTCGCATTATTTGAATTTCAGCTAATTAACATTCCATTACGTCACAGTGCTTTATTTCAGTATCAGACACCGGGAGCAAGTTGATATTTACATTTATTTATGCATTTGGCTGACGCTTTATTTCAAAACGACTTGCAGTTAATAAGTTATAGTGTGAAGTCTAGCGTGTGACAGTATTCTACAATAAGTACATACATACACAAAGTATTTTCACAGTCTACAGATAGTGTTTTCAGATTTGACTGCTCTGCTGGACATCATGTCAGTGACATCATCCGAGTTCAGTGTAGCTGAGAGTGAAGAAGGTGTCCCTGATGGCCTTCATGGGTCCAGGAGAGACACATTATCCACTGAGTTAGAATGTTTCAATAGGCTGGATGTGTTCAATCTAGGCACTATCAATGTCTATGATGAGATAGATGGTAACGATTACATAGAGGAGTCTAGTCTTAGCAGTGCCACATCTGAAGATGAAATTGAGGCGAGTGTGGTCAGCTTTGAATCGCACTCCGACGAGGGATCATTTGTCAGTAGGCAGAATTCGCAAATGTGTTGCGGCAGAATGTTAATGCATAACAGAGGATGTGATGATAGTCTGGGTTTGCTGAGCATTAGCAGCATGTCCTCTTGTGAAACCCTAATCGTCCACCATCCTCCAATGTGCAACACATCCCTCAATCCCCCCCATACATCCTCCAATTCTATAGAAGCAGCAGGGCCTTCGGTTAGCATGGATGTCCATAGTGACAAAGAAGCGTCTTCTATAGAGTCTACATCTATAGGAGTGTCATCTGTAGACTCTGTGGACAACAGTGCAGGTAAGATTGAAATCACATTGGAAATTTGGAAATGTAGATCTGCACTACAGTATAACAAGTATCTAGAAGCACTTGAGTAGAAAGACCCCAACAACAGTCTCGCTGTCTCATATTTAAGATTCCTTTACATTGTTGCATATTTTGCTTATCTAGATGCAATTTTAAATAAATGCATGTAGGCCTAGTTACAACTGTGCTGATGTTTAAAACAAAAGCACTGCGCTCATGTGATATTGTTTTTTACTGTCAGTCACAAGAAGTTAGAGTAAATTAAATGTAAACACAATATAACCTGTTGAGTTGTTTTTTAGAAAATGTATCACGGTTTCCACAAAAATATTGGGCAGCACAACTGTTTTCAGCACGGATAATAATCAGAAACATGGCCAATTAAAATAGTTTACCAACAAAGCCAAAGCATTGCGAGTCTGCAACCAACATACCAGGAGCATCATGACATTTTTTTGAGGGGGCACTATTGATCGCCTACCATTTTCATGTATGGAAAACAGCAGAACTATTTGATTCTTTATAGGAAAACAATCCAATTTTATATATTTTTTTATCTTAATTTTTTCCCCCTGCATATCATGTGTGAGGCTCTGTACCGATTCCCCCAACCACCTGTAGCTTATGCAAAAACTCTGGGGCAACTTTGGAGCTATATTCATTTTGTGCCTACTACAATAATCACAGAACATCTTTATTAAATTTAAAATATATATATTTTTTGTCTGTTGCAAGCTGAATTCAAAGTCTATTTAGCTCAAAATTCTGAGGGGTAATGTGCTTGAATGTCTTTTTGAACAAATCAATTAAGTGAATGCTTCTTCATTTTAGAAAACCATATCAGTCTAAGGAAGAAAGTGAAGAACAGGATCTGTTCATTCTTCAAGAGGGCATGGAAGGCTAAAAAGCATCCTTCACTCTGTTCACCAGAAGTCACAGAGCCAGACGGTGCAGATTCATCATGTCCTGCAGAGCCCTCTTGTTTCAAACCAACTGATGGTGAGTGTGCTGCTAGTATTACTATGGTACCCTGCAAAAACAAAATTTTAAAGGGGCATTGAACTGCCTTTTTATTATTTTGTACTGTTTTCTAAGGGCCACTTATAATGTTATCAAGATTTTTACATCAAAATCATCATAATTTAGAATAGGCTATATTCTGTCCTGTTTTTGACCCCCCTCATTGCACTCTGTTTGAATAGGCGTGGCGAATTGTAGACTCAGAAGTAAACACCCACTGCTATGATTGGCTAACAGTTGTGTATGTTTGACAGCCTACATCCTACACAGATGGATGCTGCTGTGATTTAAGTTTAAATGCATAAATCCTCAGTACATATCAAATAATCTTTAATAACAGAAAAAGAAATAATGACCACATAACTCAAACAGTTACTCACACTTGTGTGTTGCGACTTTACTGTCGGATCCAATATAGTCTGCAAAGCATCGCCTTTTAGTTTCAATCTTTCTGAAAATCCCACGTCGAATTGTACCTTGTTTGTAAACGAATCCGCTGTAAAATGAAGTGATCAAAGGACCAAGTTCTCACTGATCAACTCTGACTGATCTGGATCTTCATTAAAAATAAAGTTAATTTACTCTTTCCTAATGTTAGGATCAGAAGAAAGGCGAATCAAAGGTTGTGTTTTTCCACAGCTTGGCACTGCACAGAATCTTGTTGTCTTCGGAGCCATCTTTATAGTTTGGTTTATACGTAGACCTGTGTTTGTCTCTCTCGTTATTTACACTATGTGTGAGAATCGGTGGGCGGTGCTAAACAGGCAGTGATGTAGAAGCAGGCGTTGATCTTCTTCTGCGGAGGTGGTTTTTAGCCATACTATTACTTCATAAAGTGGTACATTCCCCAACCTGTCGTTTTGGCAGATCGGCTTCAATATATGCTGTTTTTAGACTAACAAGTTTTGAGTTCTGGAACTTACAGGATGTTTTTATAGAACAACGACCTCTTATGTGTCAAAAGATCAGGGGAATTTTGATTTCTCAATTCATGACCCCTTTAAATCTGTATTTTTGTCTTGTTGTACACAAAAAAATGATTAAAGCATTGTTTGTGCATGTGTGTTTTTCAGAATCTGACAAGTTTGGCTATGAAATGAGAATTGCTGCATCAGGAGGCTTTGGCACAGTGAATGAGGAAATCCCTTCATCTAATGGCAAACAGGTACTCAAACAAGTTGTGTCTTGATGAAAACATCTGTTGATGATTAATTTATAGATTGTAGATTCTTAAACCTTAAAAATGTGATACTGAGATCTTACATGCTTCAACATGCTCATAATACTAACTCTGTTTTGTAACCTGTTGCAATTAGACAGAAGATGCTGATTGCCTAGATGAGTGCAGCCTTAGCAGCGACACATCCGAAGATGGCTGTTGTGTGATCGTTTGTGGCCCGTTCTCCATCCAGAGAAGAAAACCGATCTATAGGCTGGGTGAATGGAGCTTTAACAGCACCAACAACCTCTTCATAGGTGAAGGTGGAACTGACAGAAGCCTGGATCTGTTAAGTATTAGCACCGACATATCCTCCACTGAGGAACGAAGTGGTGCTTGGCAGAATGGTCCTGCTAGAGAAACCTGTGCATGTTCAGATTGCAGGAACATGTACCCAACAGGGCCTTCAATGAGCCTGGAGGCGCAGAGTGACAAAGAGGCGCCTCCTGTAGATACTGCAGAGAACAGCACAGGTGAGACTGAAATCACATTGGAACCTGGGACATTTATGTAGATGGTAAATACAAGCACAGTATACTAGCATATGAGGATGACTCAGTCTTTTTGAACAAATCTATTAACTGAATGATTTTTGTTGTTTTAGAAAAACATACCAGTTTGAGGAACAAGATGATGAAAGGGATCTCTTCATTCTTCAAGAAAACATGGAAGGCCTTAAAGTGGTCCTCCTTCTGCTGCTGCTGCAAGACCAGAGTTGAGCCATTTGTGCCTCTACAAGAGGACTCAGAGCCGGACCCAGAGCCAGCTGATCCCAAACCACACTTTGTTGCAGAGCCCTTTGGTTTCAAGCCAACTGATGGTAAGTCTGCTGCCATGATTACTGTAGTACCCTGCAAAAGAAAAAAAACAAAAAACATTTTAATCAGTATTTTATTTTACGCAAACTACTATATTTTATTATAACAGCGTTTTTTTTTGTATGTATGTGTGTACGCATGTATGTATGGATGTTTTTTTTCCCGACTTTCGACAGTTTGACTATGAAATGGTAATGATAGAATCAGGAAGCTTTGCATTTCTGTGAAACGATTTCAACTAATGGGGACACTGTGAAGGCAGCAGAAACCTCAAGCCCACCACATCAGGATCAGAGAGCTCAGACGAGCCTTCGAGCCTTCGTCTGCCAGCCTGACCAAATTAATATTAATATTAATGATTTGTATACACTATATGCACATGCACAAGTAGACTTGTGCCTGAAGTAGCATATACTTAGTTGTATGGCCAAAGCAGTTCCAAGTTTCTAGCACTATTTAGTTCTTAATATAATTTTTTTTTAATTTAAAGGTAAAATTTGTTTTATTAAAGGCAAATGATCTATGTAAATTTATACATTTGAATTACACTGTT